TAATGGTGCCTCAATTACCTATATCACTTTCTGAAATTCCCTTAAAATCAGGATCGTCACTGCCTGATTTTCACCACAGGAATCCAGGATAACAGTCAGCCATTGTGTAAAGTCACAGCATAAAACATAAATCCTCAGGAAAAGCACCCTTCTTAGATACCCAGATTGAACACCTGCTGTCTAAACTGGGTCCTACTTCAGTGTGAAGTCATTTCTCTTCATTAGCTATTTATGACAAAGAAAAAAAAACTATACAAGTTCTTTAAATTCATACACAAAACACATATTTCTATCTATCTAATTGGGTCCTTATAACTGGCAATGAATTGGGAGTTACAGCGTTCAGCCCTTGCTGGCTGGGTTACTATTTTCACATTCTCACATGCTCTTATTAAATTTTAGAGGACTATTAAGCCAGTAAAGATGAATTTACAAGTATGTCAAAGTCAAAAGCATTGGTAGGCGGTTACAGTCACAAAATATCTTGTAAACAGCTATAGTATTTAGTTGTAGCTTCATGAGGAAGAAATTGCTGCATGTTGAAGAACTGTGTTTGTTATACACGTAGTGAAGAAAAACAAAGCTGGAGCTTCTCAGATGGAGAGATGTGACTTTCTTCACAAAGCAGAGTGGGTTCTGATGCCATGGTTCACCTCCCTGGACAAGTATTTCTCTAACTACCTGGAAAGGAACATCCTGAATTTTCCTGTCCAGTTGGACTCCTTCCTGGGTGTGTAGATAGCAGATGCAATATCCTCTGCCAATGAAAGCATCACAGGGCTAACAAACTCCTTCACATGTTCAAGGGCTTTCCCAAAGCTCTTTTACATTTCAAAATGAGTCAGCATATCCTAAACTCATTTTCCTCATTTGGCCACTATGGAAATGCTGAAAGTGAATTATCTACTTACTGAGATCAGAATGAGGAAGGCACTAGCTTCTTAGATCAATATGATTATGACTTGCCTAAAAATCAAAACATTTTCTTTGAGAAATATTTCGCAGCAGCTACTACTAAGAAACAACAAGAACATCCATTATGCCACTCAAATTCTAATTTTTTAAAATGCTAGAATCCAAAAAATTCGGAGGTATTTCTCCAGGAGAAAATTCTTCAAGAAACAGCATTTTGATCAAAAGAGACAAAAAAATAATTCCCAACGTTTTCCTCAAGGGAAGACATAAAAATATTTTACCACAAATAAAACATTGAAGAAAATAGTGAAGAAATGTGACATCTTCATACAACACAGTCTCAGGATTTTCACTTACGAGATAAGTGAGTAGGTAGTTTATTCAAAGAAATTTGGTACAAAAAGGAACACAGGTAACTCATCAAAAAATTAAGCTAATATTGTATTTAATTTCCCAAGAAAAAAAAAATTCTTTTGCCTTTTTTTTTTTAAGTAGCTCAGCACCCAATGTGGGGCCCGGAACTCACAATCCTGGGATCGAGACCGGCATGCTCCACCGAGTGAGTCAGCGAGTCACACCAAAAAAAAAATATTCTAACCAAATCATTTTGTTACACTTAGTGACTTACATTTCTAATACAAACTCCAGGGCAATTTTTAAAAGCTAGAAAGAGATTCAGTAAATGTTGAATTCCAAGCAAAGTCCTGAGAATGTGCATTTTTCTTTGCTGCCCAACTCTGAGTTCTACTGAGCCAATTCTGGGAACTGGCACACACTGAGAAATTTTTCATTCATTCAATAAGTATTAATTAAGAACCCACTATATACCAGACAGTGGGGAGACAGCCCTAAACAAGAGAGACATATTTCATGTCCTCAAGGAGCTCACAGGCTAGCAGATGAGACAAATACGAAGTATAGACAAGATGTCAAACTAGACTAGGAATTTTATGAAATGAGCCAAAGCTTTAAACAACTGCTTCCAGCTTTCCTAACCAAATGTAAGCTCAAGACAAATGCTTCACTCACAGATAACTACACGAGATAGTCCTACCTCATTTTTTTGGTTTGTGTGTCGGCTGAAATGCCTAATGGCTAATATGATAATCCATAAAAGGATTATTCTGATTCTATCACTTAACTGTATGGAGCTGGTAATCTCTTTTTAAAATCAAAATCCTAAATTTTGATGTTTGCACTCTGACCATTATTTATTTTTTGTCACATCTAAATGAGTTTATTCTATTAATCAGACATCCAAAAATGTTTCATACCAGACATGGTTCATGTTGTTTCCCATAAATCTCGATTAATTAGTTAAGACTTCAAACTGAGCAAAGATTTTTATTTCCCAATTTTTTGATTCAATTTTTAAAATCAATTTTACAAGATGTAATGATAACTAGCTCCCCAGTACTAAATATTCACTCTGAACTTAGTGTGGTTTTTTTACATAGTTACTTGTAAATTCCCCTCCCACTATAACCCTGCAGGGTACTACTGCTTCTATTTTTCAGATAGGGAAACTGAGGTGCTGAGAAGTTAACGTTTCCCAAAACCACACAACTAGTTAGTGTAAAGACAGGAAAGGAACCTCTTGATTATCTGACTGGTTATTCTCGTAAGTATCTTAAATTGAGAACAGAGTTCTCACCCTTCAGAGTTCTACATGCAGGAGAATTACTCACTGTGCAACATTATTATAATGATGCTATAATAATGCAGTTAATGCCTTCAAGCCACCAGAGTCCAATAAAACATCTGATTAACTAGTGAAACAAAATGTGAAATAACTTCTCAGGTAAACGGCAAGGAAATGAAGGGTGTCTAACTATGAAGTCTTTGCTAAAATGAGGAAACCACATCAAGAATTGTTACCAGTAACCTCCAAGCCTGGCTGTGGGAAACTCTCCTAAAAAGAGAGGAAAATCATCTCACACTAAGTGGGGGGTTGGCCTGGAAACTCATAAAGGAAAGCTGGGCCAGAGACAACCCGTGATTTTTGTTTTGTCCTACCTCCAGTGGGGCTCACTCCGATAGCAAGCGGCCCTAAACACTGCACCCACGTCATCTGCTCACAGAGGCATGGTCCACCATGCAGAGAGCAAAGGCCAGCACACACCATCGGATAAAGCCAGATAACCACCATCACCTTGCAAAAATCATCGGGTGGCCCCCAATAAAACGCGGACAGCTTTATGAGTTAACAGGAATGTAACCTTGAAAGACCATTCGATGAAATGCATGTGGATCAAGTTGCTCCGCACTAACTTCCTAAGACCTCTTTCTCCTCTGGTCTTCGGCTCTGGCTCTCCGAGGGAACAACCCCAGGCAGCTGACAGCACCCGGAGAGCTTCCCCCGGCAAACCACAGACCGTAAACGAAGCTGAAATCCACCCGGTGGCTAAGTTTCCTAAGGTCTGTAGCGCCTTCAGGGGCCGTCTCGACCCGCTCTGGTCCAGCGGCTCCGCTACACCAGAAATTCGCCAACACCGTTCATTCGCTAGGCACCCGTGTGGGGGAACCGCTTAGAAATACGCGTTCCTTTCGGCTTGGGGGCAGCATGCTCGCCCTTCAATGCCCTACTGGTTTCTTAACACGCATATGGTTAATATGGGTACTCAGGAAAGAGAACTTCTTCTGACCTTGAGCGTGCGCGCTAAATAAATTACCTCAGAACGAAAGTGGTGGGATCTCATAACAGCATCTAGGGAGAAAAGAGAAAAACGAGACTTCATTTCACTCCTTGTTCTTCGACTTACTAAGGACTTACGTGAGGGACAAGGGTCGGGAAGGCACGTCCCGGACTCCTTGAATCCGGCGGGGACACTCCGAGGGGCGGGGAGGTTACTAGGCCATCGGTCCCTAGGGTGAGTTCTCCGCGAGAAGTTTCGGGGAAAGTTCTGGGAGAGTGCGGGAGCCCCGAACTGTCCCTGCCTTACTCTCTTACCCCTAAGCTCCAGCGATGGGTGGGTGAAGGGAGGATGCCGCAGCCCCGGATTCCGCTCCAGTGACCCTTGGGGCTCTGGCAAACGGACACTTAGAATTTGCGTCGGTGCCTCCCCTCCCAGCCCTGGGCATCCCCGCGGTCGTCCCAACCGTGCAGCCCGGGGGTCACGGTAAGGCGGGGAGGGCAAACAGGGGCAACGGGGGGCGTTAAGCACAGAAACGTCCTAGGCTTGCGGAGCGGGCAGTGATGGGGGTAGGGACCGCGGCGCGGGCGGCAGCGAGCCCCGCTTCACTCTCCGACTTGGCTTAGATGTCCCTCCCAGCCCGCAGGACCCCGCCGCGGCGTGGCTCACCTCGGCTCCTGGAACGACCCGAAAAGACCGATTTCATCGGATGCCTCCCTTTCTGGAGCCTGCGGTGCCAGCAGCAAAAGAAGACGATGGTGGCGATGGTGCCCAGCAGAAGCAACAAGAGGAAGAGGGCGCACTGGATGCTGTAGGGTCTCAGCAAGACGAGGAAAGCCGCGGCGATCATGGTGCGGGCGAGGCGGGGGCGGCTCGGCGGCGGGGCTGGAGGGCGGCGGCACGGGCACCCGCGCCGGGCGCTCCACGAAGCGGCGGGCACGGGCGAGCGCGGCTCAGCGCGTCATGCCCGGCGCTCGCGGCCCCGCGCCCGGCCCAATGGCTGCGCAGCCCGCGCCGGCCGCGCTATGCGAGCGCTCCAGGGCTGCGGGGAGCGCTTGGCATGACTCAGCAGACGGCGACGAGGCAGCGACTGGGCGGCGGGGAGCCTCCCCCCTCCCTCCCCAGGCGCCCCCGCCCCCGTCCGCGCGCAGCCCCCGGGCGCAGCCCCGCCAGGGACGCGGCCGGCTGGGAGGAGGAGCAGCGCTGCCGCCGCGGCCACCCGGCTCCCGCGCATCGTCCTGCGGCCGCCGCGGGCCTCGGCATCCCAGAAGCCGGGCGCACGTGCGTCGGGGCGGGGACGCGGCGCCCGGGCCGCAGCGGCGGAGGCCCGCGGGGGGCGGGAGTGGGGCGCCGCGGCGGGGGCTCGCCTGATGACATCACGGCCGGGCTGCGGCAGCGCGGGCGCGCGGACATGGCTGCGGCGGCTTCGGCGGCGGCGGCGGCGGCGGGCTGCGCCCGGGCCTGAGCGCCCAGCGCCCTCCCGCGGGGCCGCCCGCCAGTCCGCGCGGTCCGCGGGTGCGCGGACCCCGCGCCTCTCCGCTCCCCGACGCCCGGGGGCCGCCACCTCTCCAGCCTCCTCCCTGCGCCGAATTGCTGGGGAGCCCGGCGACAGGGGGCGCCAAGGAGCCAGGGGGAAAACCGTGAGGCGCCGGCGGGAGAGCCTGCAGGCGGTGCTACCCCCCACCTCCACCTCCACCTCCACCTCCACCTCCCCGCGCCCCGCCCCGAGGTTGGGGCTTTGGAGGATGCAGCCGGGTGAGCTATTGCTTGCGGGGGGGTTCCTCGCACGCCGAAGCGTGAACGCCGGGAAGGGCCCTCCCTGGGAATTGGGGTTCTCCAGCACACGGGAGGCCCAACCTCTCCAAGCCCCTCTACGGTGGGAGCGCTCCCCGCAGAACGCTCCGCCTGCAGACCTAAGCTGCTAACACCCCCAAACCAGGTGCCGTTTCTCAGCGGAGAAGCGGGCACGTTAGATCCGCCTGCATCCACGCGTGTACCGTCAGACCTCGACTCACTGAAGTGCGTTCGAAGAGAGGCAATTTCAGGTTTAGGAACTGGCAGATGAAGGAAGTTGGAGATTGTCTTGTAAATATTTTGAGGGGAAATATTTTAGGGAGTGTGAGAAAGTAAGGATCTGTCGCACTCAAAACGCACACATTCGCTCCCGCCCCCTCCTCTTTCTTCAAAACCAGCAAAAAAAAAAAAAAAAAAGTATATTGTTGGTGGCCAGGAGATTTTACAGTGGCCTCTGGTGCAGTGCCAACGCGGAAGGTGTGGCGGGAGCGCTGCAGTGTGCCTTTCTGCGGACAGCCACTGCCACCTGGCCCGGGAGCCGCTGCGGCTGCAGTCTGCGGCATGTGTTGGCCTTGCCTGGCCGGGTACTGTACCGCGTTATGCTGCTCCCGAGGCAATGCAGACATTCCCGAAGGGTGGGGTGGGGGGGGGGGGAGCTGGGTTTTGCTTGTTTCGTTTTATTTACCGGCATAAGGCAACTGCCATTATAGTGACCTAAAGGTGCACATTGTTGCATTTGTGGCTTCTAATAACTACGAGGTGGACTCTTACTTAGGAATATTTAAGATACTGAAGAAATTGTCATAAGAAAAAGTAATTTGTAAAATTCTGAAAAGCATTTAAAGAATAGATGGCAATACTTACGTTGGGTTTGCTTGTAGGATCTCAAAATCAGTATTGTTTTCTAACTATACAAACTCAACCGTACGACTCTGCATAAAGGCTTAACCACTGATGTTTTCAAGGCCTTGAATTATATTGCCATGTGTGACCATTAAAGGAAACTCAAAAAGGCATTGCCTGCTGTGTTTCCTAAAGGCCAGATTCATAAATGTGGGGAGCCATGGATGAAATTTTCTTATGTACAAGTTGTTTCCTAAAGCAAAATAAACATTCAAGTTGTTGACATATTGCATCATATTCGGTTGTTTCGGTCTGAAGATGCAAGGACCTTGCTTGCAGATACTGTATATGGTGAGAATGTTGAATGTCAAAAAATAGGCAGCACTACAAGTCAGGATGGACTTCATAGGTCCCTGGCGCCCAGGGTCAGCCAGGTAGCACTGCATCATGTTCACATTGCTCAAAGGTCTCCTACTACTGCAGCCCACTGCAGTGAGAGACTGTATTCCTGTGCATTGTGCAGGAGTATTGAAGAGAATCCTGAGAGTTGGCAATGTGTGGCACATCAGGAAAGGAAGAATTATTTACTGCATTGACTCCCAGTGGCCTGGGAGAATAATTTAAAACAACAACAAAACTGAACTAACCTTCTGCAAACATTGGCAGAAATAACTAATAGAATTTAGGAAGGTCATTTTGACTGTATACTTTCCCACTAACTAAAATTTGTGAGTGAGCTAAAATGGCCTAAATATCCTTGAAATGTGTCTAAGACCACAAACACGGCATAGTAACCAATTTGTTCCAAACTCTGCATTTTTAACAACAAAAAGCAACTAAATAGCAATTATAGTTTTCTGAGCTCTTACTTTAGCACAGTTGCTACCATCCTGTGTCTTGCTGCAGCCATTTATAAGTTTCAAGTACACACAAGAACATCATTTATCTCCCTTGGCAGGCAAATGCCTTAGCTGCTGTGCAGTAGAATTGTAGATATTTTTTTTTTAGATGCATTAACGCCTATTCTTTACATCAGTTATCTCAAGGATACTAATAATAAGGAAACCAAATAATTGAAAGAATTTTTAGTATTTAGGTTCCATTGCTGTTTTCTGATTTGTTACTAATTTATCATTTCCATCTCCAAATAATGGCAGGTTATTAATTGCTTCTTTCTGTGTGTTTATGTGATGCTAATGCATTATGGAATTTAATAAATATTAAATCAACCAATCAATCCTTTTTGGAAGTTAATTTAGTAGAATTCCTATATTTTTCTTTCTGCTAAGTTTTTATTACAAAGAATAATTGACATTGTATCAAAGTCACAAAAAAGTTAAAGTTTGGCAGTAGGGGAGGAGGAAGTTCCTTGGTCAGATGTTTCATATGGGGCAGGCCCAGTGGCTCAGGGGTTTAGTGCCACCTTCAGGCATGGGTGTGACCCTGGAGTCCCACCTCAGGCTCCCTGCTTGGAGCCAGCTTCTTCTGCCTGTGTCTCTGCCTCTTTCTCTCTCATGAATAAGTAAATAAAATCTTTTTTAAAAGGCAAATGTTTCATATGAAGAACAATAAAGATGGAAAAGGATAGATTAGTTTTTGACTTTTTATGACAGTGAGTTAGCATTATCATCCAAGGGAAGACAAATGAGTTTATAAAAATGGTGAAGAGTGTTTGGTATCAGACATGTAGAAAATGATCCATCATGCAGCCCTTATTCCCTTTGGCTTCTCAACCAAATTGAGAATATACCTGAGGAACCAAAAGGAGATTAAAATATTAACTTTTAAAAAAATAAATAAAATATTAACTTTATTCAGGGTAAATTCAGATTGAAGAACATGAATTAGATTCAAGGTCAAAATGGGACATCTTATTGCTTTTCCCCTAAATCTGCATACCACCCAGTCACAGCTGAAGAACTACAGGCGGTCCCAGCACCAGCGCACCAGGATACTACTTCTTTGCTGGAGACCAGAGGTTGTAAAGAGCCTGACACTCTCCCACCCACAGGGCTTGCAGCAGGATGGAGCAAGAGACAGGACCATATGTGAGAAGGGGACCTTTCATACATCAGCCCTACCCAATAGTGGCTGGAAGGCCCTCCCTGAATCCCCCATCACTGAGTTATTCACCTCCCAAAGTAAGAGTGAGTAAGGGGCTTTTAATACAAAGAAGCTGCAGTATTTCTCTAGAGATTGGAAGTTGTGGCACAAATTCCTAATTTATGGGTTGGAAAGAAAAGAAGGCTCCACCCTAATCCATGTAGTGACCAACTGAGAAAAAAAGAGGAAATGAAGATGACTCAAGCCTTCAGCTGGAATGGAAGGACAGACCTGAAGGAAAAGATGACAAGTTAAGTCTAATACCCATGGAGACAGAGGTGTTGGAAGGATATCCATATGTGAGATTACCCAGCAAGCCCATGGAAACATGGGTGGAGAGGTCAGAACCAGATATAGACTGGGTGTCACCAACATGAATTATAATTGAGGTCACGGAGATGGACAAAATGACTAAGGAAGAGAAACTACACGGAGAATTGGGGGCAGCCCCAGTGGCTCAGCGGTTTAGTACCGCCTGCAGCCCAGGGTGTGTGATCCTGGAGACCCTGGATCGAGTCCCATGCCAGGCTCCCTGCATGAAGCCTGCTTCTCCCTCTGCCTGTGTCTCTGCCTCTCTCTCTCTCCTCTCTGTGTATTCTCATGAATAAATAAATAATAAAATCTTAAAATAATTTAAAAAAAAAAAAGAAACTACACGGAGAATTGGAATTGGAACTTTGGAGATGACTTCCATTTGTGGACTAGAGAAGTAGAGCAGAAAACAAGCCTGTGGAAGCCCAAGTGGGAAATGTTCCAGTGTAGTGGCTTACTAGAACAGAGGCACAAATATGAGGTTAAGGTGTGCAAGGACTGAGGACCCGTGACTAGGAGACCTCTGGAAACCTTCCAGAAAGCTGATTCATCCTAGTGGGGGAGGCTAAAACCAGACATTAACAGGTTGAAGAGAGAGTAGGAGGTGAAAACAGGAGAGAGCCTCTGTCCACAATCTTTGGAGAAATTTAACTCTAAAAGTTAAGTTCTAACTCTAAAAGCTAATTCATCTAAAAGAGATGAGTAGAACTGTGCTTAAAGCCTAAGTAATAGCTTTTCTGTTTTGTTTTGTTTTTTTAAATCAAGATAGGGTTACTTTAAGTTCCAGGGAGCTTGATAAAACCAGCAGTGGGAGAGAAATTAAGAGTTAAAGAGAGAAGAAGAGGCATTCTTCTAGGCATTTATGGTTTAGCACTTTGTTTTTTAAGATTTTATTTATTCATGTGAGACACAGAGAATGAGGCAGAGACATAGGCAGAGGAAGAAGCAGGCTCCCCTGGGGGAGCCCAATGTGGGACTCAATCCCAGGACCCCGGGATCAGGCCCTGAGCTGAAGGCAGACGCTCAACCACTGAGCCACCCAGATACCCAGCTGTTTGTTTTAACATACCTGCAGTCCCCCAGATGGGTTCTTTCTGCTCTCCAGGGGCTTTTCATTATGCAGTTAACACTAACCCTAAGTAGTTAGGATGGCTTTCTGCCCATGGTCTCCTCCCCACCAACCCTGGCTACTAACACTCAGACAGAATGATTTTTAGGGAAAGATAAGGAATACCTTGGAATGTAGCCCAAATTATCTGTAAGCTTTTATTATAAACCTAAATGGAAATGAGTATATTTTCAAATGGTAATTACACAATAACATTACATTGAAATATTATCCCCTTAAAAACAAAAAGTTTAGGTAAGAATGGTTTTAGCAATAATTTTTTTAAGATTTTACTTATTTATTCATGAGAGACACACAGAGAGAGAGAGAGAGAGAGAGGCAGAGACATAGGCAGAGGAAGAAGCAGGCTCCATACAGGGAGCCTGATGTGGAACTTGACCCCAGAACTCCAGGATCATGCCCTGAGCCAAAGGCAGATGCTCAACTGCTGAGCCACCCAGGCATCCCAGCAATAAGTTTTTAGAAATAAATTCTACTGAGTTTCGGCTGGTAACCTACTTGGATGGATCACAGTTGTCTTTTTAAATTTTGTTTTTTTCAAGGAAAAATAATTATTATTTGCAAATATTATTTT